ACACAGCATAATAGCATGACTAATGTGGAAAGTGTAAGGGTTACTCTCTCTCTCTCTCTCTCTCTCACACACACACCTTATAAACCCTCTTTTTTAAGACAGATATTATGTGGTTTTGGCATGCAAGATGCCAGCCATATAAAATACCACTAATTATTAATGACAGTTGCCCATGATCCTTTTGTGAACTAGAAAGTAGGATGGGTGGGTAAAGGCAAAGAGAAAGAAGGAATGGGCTCACTGACTTTTTCATTCTGGTCCCATCTGCCAGAGCCAACATGGTGTGATGGTTTGAGCATTGGACTAGGACTGCAGGAGACCAGGCTTCAAATTCCTGCTGACCCATGGAAACACACTGGGTGGTGACCCTGGGCAAGCCTCTCTCTCTCATGCTTAGAAGAAGGCAAACCTCTGAAGTAATTGTGCCAAGAACAACTCTGAGTTGTTGTGTGCCTTCAAGTCATTTCTGACTTATGATGACCCTAAGGCAAACCTATCATGGGGTTTTCTTGGCAAGAGTTGTTTAGAGTGGATTTTGCCTTTGCCTTCCTCGAGGCTGAGAGTATGTGATTTGTCCAAGGTCACCAGAGGCTTTCCAAGGCTGAACAGGAATTCAAATCTTGTCTTAGTTCAGTGCTGAAACCACCATACCACACTGGCTCTCATACCCTGTGAGAGGATCACCATATGTCAGAGTCAACTTAAAGGCACTCAACAACAACCACAACCTATTCACCACTGGTATCAGTCCTGCCTACAAGCTTCATGCAGCTTTAAAAATATTATCCCCTTAGGGAGGAGGCCCTTGATGGGGGGAACAGGTTGCCCATCCACCAACACAGAACCCGGTGCATTGGGGTGGTGGAACATATGGGAAGATAACTGTATCAGCCTCCCTTCCTTCTTCACTGGTGCCTTCAACTGAGAAAGGATGGAAAGATATCAGTGGAATAGTGAGTCCATTTTAGGTTTTATTGTGAACCTATTGGAGGACAGGTTTAGATAGCTCTTTTAAAATTAGTTGTAAGCCACTCACCTTCTGAGCATAGCTGCTGGCCTTGGCTGGGCTACAATTGCAAATAAGCAAACAAATAAACACCACCCATTGCTTAGATTTGTTTTCCACTATGAGCCATCTCTCTTTCTCTCTCTCTCTCTCGCTCTCTCTCTTACCCCTTCTGTCTCACACTGTAGCTTGGAAATACCTAGTTTGGGGACAGGGACCATCTTATTGCCTTAGAGATAAAGTTCCAGTGATACAGATTGGATTGTATCATTAGGATGGCTACTAACACATGCCTAGAAAAGAGGAAATTCATCATAATAACCACAAGGAGGAGGAGAATACAGCAGAGCATGAATGTGTTGTTCAGGGACAGCTCCCATGTCAGTGGGTTGGTGAATCCATCCCATGTTTGGGCTGGCCTTAAAGGAGTTATCCAAGGTGCTGGGCCTATTTAAGAATAGAGTTCAGTCCCTTGGAGAGCACTTTTGAAACTTTAAACATGGAGTAGATTAATCACACCACCAACATGTGAGACACCAGCCACCACTGATGCTCTTGTATGTTCAGATCCACATTTAGAAATGCAGTTGGCCCTCCATATCACCAATTCTTATCCACAGACTCAACCATCCATGGCTTGAAAATATCTTTAAAAATTATAAATTCCAAAAAGCAAGCCTTGATTTTGCCATTTTATATAAGAGACACCATTTTCTACATTATTGTATTTAATGGGACCTAAGCATCTATGAAATTCTGGTATCCTGGACCCAAACCTCAGCTGATACCAAGGGACTACTGAAATTGCTACAGTTTATATTGAAATGTAATATATCTCACCATAGTGGGGTCATCTGTGGTCTTGCAAGCTGTATGCTTACACAGCTCAATTTGTTGGCCAAGCCCTGCTGACTATAGAGAGGCAATGTCAAATCCTTTGTTTACTCTCCCTCTTTGTGATTCTTCATCTTTATTATGGACTTGGACTGGGCAACGCTTCAAACATAGGGCCTCTTTAAACAGAAAACTACCCTATGGCATCTGTTCATAAAGGGAACTGTGCTCTGTGAAGAAAGGCACATTCTGTCTTAGATCCAAAGCACACTGCAGAAACAATCCAGTTTGAGATCACTTTAACTGCCCTGGCTCAGTGCTAGGGAATCCTGGGAACTGTAGTTTATTGTGGCACCAGAGCTCTCTGACAGACAGAGAAGGTGAAATGTCTCACAAAACTACAATTCTCAGAAGCTGTAATTAATTAAGGCTGTAATTCTATGTGTATTGATTCAGGAATTGAGCATGGCTAGACAAATTAGTCAAAGATTTCCTGTTCTTAGATCAAACATTGATCAGAAGGAAGATTGTAGTCAATAAATCAGAAGTCTAGGATTGGGAAGGGCAGCTATGAAAGAACTGGATAAGATTTGAAAGTATAAATATATAACTCTGAACATTAAAGTGAGGATCATCCAAGCCATGGATGATCCTCACTTTGTATGGATGTGATAGCTGGACAGTGGGGAAAGCCAACAGAAAAAAAAAATCAGCTCATTTGAGATGTGGTGCTGGAGAAGAGTGCTGAGAATACCATGGATGGCCAAGAAGATAAACAAATGGATTCTAGAACAGATCAAGCCTGATGTCTCCCTAGAAGCGAAGGTGACTAAACTGAGGTTGTTGTATTTTGGCACATCAAGAGAAGGCATGACTCATTAGAGAAGACAATAATGCCCAGGAAAGATAGAGGGCAGCAGAAAGAGAGGAAGACCACATGCCAGATGGATAGACTCAAGCAGGGAGGCCATAGGCCTGAATCTGCAGGACCTGAGCAGATTGATGGAGGGCAGGGGGTCTTGGAAATGTGTCATCCACAGGGTGACCAAAAGTGGAGGTCAACTCCAAGTCAGTGAGCAACAACAAATGAACAAAATAGAACTTGCTTCGAAGTAAACATGTTGAGGATTGTGCATCATCACTACCATCATCAAAGTGATTTCATACAGATATGCTGCGTGTCCAAAGCATTTCATAGATATTGCCTAAGATGATACATCACTTCAGTACAGGGTAAATATCTGCTGGTAAAGGTACCTTATGCAACCTCTATACTACATACCAACAAAATACAACATATGTAGACTAATAGTCAATGCACATGGCTGGCCACCTGTTGTGCAGTTGCAATGCACAATGCATAAAGAAAATGCATACATGAAATACACATTCATATGCTATTTTGTATTATCACATACACAGCTGGGGTGTATGTGAGGAAGAGTTAAACTGAATGATATAAGAACTCTCTCAAAATGTAACAAGTACATTTGAATATAAAAAGCTTGGGCAAATAAGGAGATTTTAACCCACTGACGAAAGAGGTGCCACACTGACTCAAGGAATACTTCCCACAGGAAATATTTCAAAGCCACCACAAAGAAGTCCTTCTCTTTTGTAGACAATCAGTAGTTGTTGTGTGACTTCAAGTCATTTCTGATTACAGTACCCCTAAGGGGACCCTATCATAGGATTTTCTTGGTAAGATTTGTTCAGAGGAGTTTTACCTTTGCCTCCCTTTGAGGATGAAAGAGTATAACTTATCCAAGATCACCCAGTGGGTTTCTATGACTGTACAGGGATTCAAATCATGGTCTCCAGTATTATAGTCCAATATTGAAACCACTATTTCATGCTGGCTCTCAGGCAATTAATTTGTTGTTATAGTTGTTGTAGTTGTTGTTATGTCCCTTCAAGTCACTTTCTGATACACTCCTCTTATAAATGGAATACAAAACAGGACTCCCTCTGCTCAGCTTAAGGCATGGAAATGATAACATAGGAGGAGATGTTCCCTAGATATTCTTACATTATTTAATGCTTAAGTGCTAGCATGTTGAACTGAGTTCAGTGATTTACATGTTGTGGACTTCGAACAAGAATAATGCAAAGACTAGAAAGAGAAACTGCTGAACTGAGCCCAGTAAAAATCAGAAGCCAATGTAATTCCTTCAGAGTTGATGCAATATGGCTCTGCCTTGGCAAACTAGCCAGAATTCTAGCAACTGAGGTCCCTTCCACATTATAATGTTATGATTTCACATTAATTGCAATGGCAACATCATATGGAATCTGAGGATTTGAAGTTTGAAGGGCATTTGAATTGTCCTCTGGTGTTTCTCATCAAACTACCAAGCCCAGGGTTCCATGGGATGCAACCTGGGGGCAGTTAAAGTGGACTCACAGCGCCATACCTGTGTAGCATGACAAGGTTATGTGCCACTTGAAATTTAATACTGTTTCTAAGGGCAGCCCCTTGGAATGCATTGCAGCAATCCACCTTGAAGATGATCAGGATTCAGAGCCCCATAGGTAGACTGTCCTTATCCAAGAAGGAAGAGCACTGGCAAATCAACTGAGATTGGTAAAGCACATTCAAGTGTCACCTTTGAATCCAAGGACACTTCCTGAGCTGCACACCTGCTGCTTCAGGTGTCAGGGGTAGGAGCTGCCTAGCCACAATGCCTCCATCTTCTCTGAATTCAGCATCACTTTAATAGTCCTCCCCCAGGGAAGGAACGGGCAAAACCATCTCTGAACAGGGGCATCACTTGGGAGGTTCAGGAGGTGTGGACTGCACCATGCGACACCCTAAATGGACTTCCCTGCTCCCCAAACATTTGCCCTTTGGCAGAAATAAGATATGGCATTTACCTGCATCCCTTTAAAACATTGAAGAGGTATTTATTTATTCGGGGCAAAGCTCAGTGGGAGGAGAAAGGCCCCAGGTTTTAAAATAAATTTACAATTTAAAATTTTAAAATTCTGTAAAAATATCAGATCTTACTGAAATTTCACTTAAACCCCACAAAACTATGTACATGTAAATGCATTTAGGCTGTGCATCTGATACCATGATTTAAAGGTATCAGTTTAATTTTGCTAGCTGTTTATGCCACAACTATTACCATTACATGTAGTGTGATATATGGGAATTAGAGCCAATGTGGCACAGTGGTTTGAGGCCTGGACTATGACTCTGGAGACAAGGGTTCAATTCCCTGTTTGACCATGAAAGCCACTAGATGACCTTGGACAAAGCACACTCTCTCAGCCACAGGGAAAGACATGGCAAGCCTCCTCTGAACAAATCTTGCCAAGTAAACCCCATAATAGGTTCACCTTAGGGTTGCCATTATGACTTGAAGGCACACTACAACAACAACAAGTTGTTTATGTCACAACTATTACCATTACATTCAGTGTGATATTTGGGTGTTACAATTTATGGATAACATTAGTACAAAAAACATCATGAAAGATTCTGTGTGGTGTGGGATAGGAGGAGGTCAATAGAAGGAGGTGTGGGATAGGAGGAGGAGGTCAGCCATGAATCACTGCACTGGGTGACGCCAACTGTAGTGATGCCACTGCCTTTGAGTATTCCTTGCCTAAGAAAACCCTATGAAATTAATACAGTTACCATAAGTCAATTGGTGACTTGAAGGCATTTACACACAGAGAGCAGAGGGGAATGCAAGCAGGCACAGCTTGTTGTCTGAGATGGGGAGAATTATCCATCATTCCCTCTTCAGCCCAACACTGAAAGGAAATCAAGAGCTTCTCTCTGCATGTGGTTTTGCTGAATGGCAGCCTGAGAGTCACTGCATTTGGGCTGCCCTTTGGTGTGTCTCCTTCTCTTGCTCCCTCCTCCCTTGTTGCTCCTTTGTCCCTTCTCCATACATTGGCCTTCCCTGCTCTCTCTGCAGTCACCAGCTGCCCTCCCATCACTTGCTGGGTTTCCCCCTCCCTTCCCTTCTCTGTGTGATGGGAAAGGAGCCTGCAGCTCCCTGCAGCAAAGCCAGCCAGTCCCACTGCCGGTGCTGCCGCAACCTCAAGGACAATTCAAGGGGAAAGCAGCCAAGAGAGAGATAGAGGAAAGGAGGCAGGCAGGCAGGAGGCAGAACAGGTTGGCTTGGAATCTGCTCTGGCTCCTTCCAGGGGATGGGACAATCATTGCCTCCCCATAGTTTTGGAAGCAAGGATCCTTCCTGGGCAAGCAGAGAGGAAAAGGCCCATTGCAGCAGAGCAGCAACAGCAGAGCAAATCCTAGTTTCTCAGAAAGCAGCAGCAGGAAGTGAGAAGCAAGCTTTGTCATCTCAGGATTTAAATCCATGGTAGCTGGCAAAGACATAACTCCTAAGGCCAGTTCTTCAAAAAGGAAGGAAGGAAGATTGAATTTTCCTGGACTCATCAAGTTCCAGAAGACATGCCATGTGTGTGTTTGTGCATGTGCCTTCAAGTCACCTGTCGATTTATGACAACCCGTGGATTTCACAGGGTTTTTGTAGGCAATGAATACTCAGAAATAGTTTTGTCAGTTCTTTCCTCTGAAATATAGCCTACAGAACCTGGTCTCCCATCCGAGTACTAGCCCTGCTTAACTTCCAAGATCAGACAGGGTCTGGTGCCTTTAATGTACTTAGGCCCTAAGACATGTCTTATGAAGTTGAATCCCTGCTTGCAGATGTGCCAGATATTGGTAATGTACAAATAAGATGGTGGAGAGTATATATTCTGCACATACTCAGTAGCAATCTCTTCTGCATTAGTGATTTCACTGTGCTAAGCCTTAGGGCCTTTGCAAACTGCCAGAAATAGTGCAAATTGAGTCCACTTTAAGGGTTAGGGAACCATGGGAACTGTATTTTATTGTGGCACCAGAGCTCTCTGACAGAGAAGGCTCAATATCTCAGGGGGGAAAAAAACAATTCCCATGATTCCCTAGCACTAACCCTAACCCTTAAAGTGGACTCAATAGTGCTGGAATAAGAATTCATTTCACTCAGCCAAGATCAAGAGTAGCAAGTAAGGCCAGTCTCTTCTTAAAGCCACAGTAAAAGGAAATCCAGCATGGTATAGTGGTTATGAGTGTTGGACCGCGACTCTGGAGACCAGGGTTTGATTCCTGCTCAGCCATGAAGGCCACTGGGTGACCTTGGGTGAGTCACACTCTCTCAACCTCAGGGGAAAGGAATGGCAAATCCCCTCTGAACAAATCTTGCTAAGAAAACCTTGTGTTAGGGCTGTAATAAGTCAGAAATGACTTGAAGGCATACAACAACAAAAGGAAATTTCTCTCTCTCTCACGCACACACACAAACATGCACACACAAACACATGCATGCTCTGTCACACACATAGTTGTCTTCTCTGTAGAAATCCACAAATATTTCACTATGCTTAGTGAGGCTGATCTCTATACTTAGCTGGGAAGATTCTTTAAGGCTGCATCCGCATTGCAGAAATAATCAAGGTTGACACCGCTTTAACTGCCATGGCTCAATGCTATGGAATCCAGAGAATTGTAGTTTTGTGAGACAGTTAGCCTTCTCTGGCAGAAATTCTGGTGCTATAACAAACTTAATTTCCCAGAATCCCATAGCACTGAACCATGTCAGGGAACATGGTGTCAGACTGGATTATTTCTGCAGTACAGATGCAGCCAAAATGGACATATATATATATATATATAT